ATAAATAATAAATAAATAATATTAATTAATAATGATAATAATAAAGTATAATTTGAGTGAAGCGTACGAATGAATATAATATATATTTTACATATAATTTAGTGTTTACTTTTGGTATTATATCCATTTTTATGTTTTGTATTCGTTTGTGACTTCTTTATTATTATTTTTTATTTTTATAAAAATTTATTAATCCGTTTAAATTTTATCGAATAATTTTTATCAATTCTTAAATGATTTGGTGATATTTTTTAATTGTTATCATTAAGAGGCGATCGATATTTATTATTATTATATATTAATAAATATAATAAATAATAATAAATATAATAACAATATATAATAATAATTGAAGAAATGAATGGTGACGAAATGGTAGATGCTCAAAGACGATTAATGTCCTCATCGACCTCATCCAACGATGAAATTATATCCAATAGGTTATATTTAGTATTGTATATTATTAATATACATATATATTAATATTTATTATTGTATATTATTAATTTGTATATATAATATTTATTATATATAATAATAAATAAATGCAGGTCGGAAGGGTCACCACTAGATCAAAAACCCACATTGTGGCAAGTAAATGGCCAACCGATGATGAGTCAAGTTAGTAATAATTAATATTTAATATTATATTTATTATTGTATATTAATAATATACATATATAAATCTTATATTTATTATTGTATATTAATAATATACATATGAAAAATAGTATCACTTCAAATCCAATGAGCCAAGCCAAGTAAAAATATACGGTAACTGAAGAACATCCGGCTTATTTTGCCGTCTAACCGTCTGTCTATCGCCTTTTATGGTGCTATTTTGTTTTTTTGTGCTGGAGAGGAGAGAGTCAGACAGTGAGAGTTGATTGAATAGTGTGTGCAGCGGAGAGAATTAGAGATAGCAAGTTGTGGAGAGATCAGTGTTTCGCGTTGTGTGCATAGAGAGAGACAGACAGAGCGGGGTGGCGAGAGAGTGTTCCGGGCTGGGCCGAAGCCGCTTGGCTTACGATACTAGTGATAGAGCAACAGGACTAGATTGGTTCGGCTTGATTTGGCTGCGATATTAAATTTTAATTATTTATTTATTTATTATTATATGTATTAAATAATATATAATATTTATTATTATATATTAAATAATATGTATAATAATTATTATTATTGAATATAAAAATGATTAAATATTAATAAACTTTGTATTGAATTCGGATAACTTGATGCGGATCGTTTTGTAATGAATAATTAATAATATTTATTATTGGCGACTCTTTTAAATAATAAATAATTTATATTCAATAATAAATAATAATTATTATTTGTGTATAATAATAAATTATATATATGTATAATATTAAATATAATAAATAAGATAAAGTATAAGTTTCTTTGGAAAAGCAAACGTTGTCAATTTGACTGCGATTGTTTTACTCATATTTATGTATAATAATAATGTATAATATTAAATATATACAATAATAAATAATATATATAATAATAAATAATATTTATTGATAATATATAATAATAAATATTAAAGTTATCGCCAACGACCGCAGATCAAGCGAATTTGGTAGAGCCAGCCCAAGGCAGCTCGTCTGCTAGTGACCTTTCGGCTGATGCCGAGGGGGTGTGGTCACCTGATATTGACCAGGTTATTATTATTATTTATTATATTTATTATTATATATAATATTTATTATATTTATTATTATTATTTATTATATTTATTATTATTATTGTAACAAAACTGAGAGATCCGGAAGTATGTGAAAAGCGAGTAATTTATTTGACGTTATTATTACTAATAAATGTTGATTAGTACAATTTTTATTTATTTTTATTTATTATTATTTATTATTATTGT